CCCCCCCCCCCCCTTTTTTTGTAACTGAGTGAGTCTGGATGACCTCAACGCCTCTGTAACACGTCTCTTTGCAGTAAGGGACTCACTTCCACTGGATGACTTATGTAAATGTAGACGGCAACAGGTTTGTATTATTAGGTTTGTAGCATTAACATGTAATTGCCAGCAGATTCATGGCAGACTGATTCAGTCTTATCGCACTAAAGACAGCAATAAAATGGTAACGAGGACGGCAGCTCACTGCGGGTGGTTGCATACCCGGTCTCCGTCTTCAAAGCACACAAATCACAGTAATCTTGCTTATGCTGCAGTCTCCAAACACTGTTTTCTCATGTGTGAGTATAGCATTAGTGGACACCAAGTTGAAATATTTTTGCTTAAAAATCCTCATTGCTTAGACATGATGAACTTAACGCTTCTTAAAGCTACCTGCAGCCGGCAGTGTGCAAAATATACACAGAGCAATGCACGCTTTGACAAAAATTCTCAGTTTATGTGAGCTATCATTATTATTAAATATATGTATTTCCCAAGGGGCTTCCTGCAATTAGACACATTTTTTGATATTAAAAAAACTTATTTTTTTTTCTTCAAGAATCAGTGGCGCTGGTTCAGCGTCAGGAGTGTTGGTATGGGGAGATGGGAGTGGGATAGCTAAGCCAGGGCCAGAGGTTTGATCTGTTTGTCCCAGCGGCAGGTCGCCAGGTAACTGATTTAGTACACGTATGTACAAAGGGTTTGCCTACACCGATTACATGTTGGCTAAAGTAACACAAACACATTATTTCCTGTTGGAAATTAAGCAAGCTAACTAACACTAGGAAAATAAAGGAAACAGATTTACAGAAATGTGTAATTGCCAGCTGTAGAAAAACAGAATTCGACTAGAGTTTCACAGTGACATTGTTTTATGTCTGCAGTAAAGCCTCTGCTCCTGGAACAACAGTGTAAGCTACTTTTACAGGATGTGGATCACGGGTCAGTGGCTCTCCCAGGAGATCTTCAGGGAACAGCAGTATGAGTTCATTACTTCCAGCTGGCACAATAAGAACACCGCTCATAGTCGCCATACTCTGGCAAAGTGTTCGCATCTAACCTGAGGTTTGTTTTCATTATAGAGAAGAAATCCTTCACATACAATAAATCTGATAAGTGATTCATTTTTCCTAGTGGAACAATAACAGAACTCATATGAAAAAAAGCTCTAAAACAGGCAGGACTTGAACCCAGGGTATTGTTCCAGCGTTGGACTGATTCGACACTCCCCACCGGGTGATTTTGATCAGCCCTCAGGACGGACAGGAAGAAGTAATGAATAAGAAGACGCGTGTTCTTTAAACACATTTTATTTTGTTATTTGTTAAAGCAAATAAAATGCCGGGATGTCCGGGAACAAGTCACATGTGTGCCGTGGAAACATAAAAAGTGCAAAACCACACTGTTCCTCCTTATAAAAACAGTTTTAAATAAAGATGAAGAGTATCCCACGCCACATAAGACAAGGTCTGACCCAGCGAGGCTCAAAGACAGTTCTTACACAGCACCGAGTGAAGGAACTGAAGCCATCAAATTAGTACAAAATACAGTACACAGTTACGGGAAGAGATGGGGGTCACTTGGCAACAGCGCTCATGAACCTTTGGTCAGTAAAGCCTTTGGTTTTGTTTTTTTTAAAGCAGCTCAAGTAAATAAAGAACAGGGATTTTGTGCCTCACATAAACACAGCGGCATTCCCATTAAAACAAAGTATTAATCTGTATTACAGTTAATAACAGTGAATAAATGCAAAAGCAAAGGATTGTTTTTTTTAATGCTCACACATTCCTGATAACAAAAAAGCTATGAGTCAAATCATGGTGCCGCAAATCTTGAATAATGACCAGTTACATAAATGTAAATGAGACTAAACATTGGAAGCAGACTTAAACACGACACATAATGAAACACACACGCACATACACGTCGCGTACATACCAAAGCAGTGTCTGATTGATATTTAAACCCACTGCTTTTTGACTGTCTTCAGCAGAAAGTGTTTGGCAACATTTAACACAAAAAAGCTGAGAACACTGAACTGCACAGCAACAAGAATCAGCAAAGTTGGTGAGAGCAGATGGGTTGGCTGGAGCCCCAGTTACCACCGCTTTATACCCAGCAGGCCTAAAAATGGCAGCAGAGAAAATGGGGAGCCAGGAACCGCACTGACATTGGATGGATATCATCAGATTTCGGCCTAGCTATGACCAACCCCACCCCTGTGACAGGTCGGAGAGGAGCAGACGAGCCCTGTGCTGCCCAGTGAGACAGATCACCTTGATTTAGTTTAGGATTAAAGCAGAAAGGGAAATCACTTGTGGGTGACATTGACAGCCGATGGTACAGACAGAGTTTCAAACAAACGATACACACACGTGCAGGCGTGCGTGCACGGACGCAGCGACACATGGTGGGCCGGTGCGGTACAGAATTAACTTGGTTAACTTGAACACGTTAATGATTAAAAGGCACTGTCAATAACATACGTCACATGTACAAAATTCTGGGTCGGTGGGTTTGTGTAAAAACAGACACTGAAGTCAAGTAAGTAAAAACAAACATCTTTTCAGGTTGTCTAATGGGGCTTTGCATATAAAATGTACATTCTCGATCATGCAGTAGCACCATGGTTTCTTGAGGTCACTGGATCTCGAGAGATCCTCTACTTCCTCCTCCCACAGTATTTGCCCTGGCATCCTGCAACGCCACCTACAGCAAACACCGGCAACATTTTAGCCTTTGCAGCAACTTCTGTTTTTCAGGATGCTTCTTCAACAATGTGCACAGGTCTTTTACCTCTATAGAATCCTCCGCCTCCTCCTCCACCTGCGCCACCAAGGAAGCCCTGCAGAGCACCGTACTTTGCTGCTTTGGCTGCAAAACAACAAAACAATATTGGTTATTATGTTTCCAATCTGAGGGTACTGGCCTTAATGTTTGCCAGAAGATTATCCGACTGGACACTGGGCAGATCTGTCCCTCTATTTTCCACGCATATATTTGAATATTCAACTGTTCTCTTGGCTTTTTTGTGGGTTTTTGTTTCTATTTCTACAAGAAAAACTTTCTCTGTGTAAAATTTGGTACTTTCAAAAAACAAAACCCCCCCCAATATGATTCATTTGCTTTCAAGAAAATGTTCTTCTAGTGCATAAATGTTTAAGAACTTGTCTTTTTCTCAGCATGTCTTATCAAAGTTCACATTTGATAAGTTCACGTTTCCCTGTAAGGATGCCGTTTAAGGCAGGAGACATTTGCCTCCAAACACGGGTGCTGGAAATTAAACTGTAGATGGATTTACTAGTGAAGTTTGCACTGCAGACCGGCTCAGCAAGTTATATTAATAAGGTAGGTGATATATGACAGACAGCTGCTGATATACTGGACAAGAACTTTATCTTAATCTAATCAACACCACCAAGATGAGATGAATGATATTTATAATAATAATTTCGTGAGTCCAGGCAACGAACCACTCTTACTAGATTGATCTTGTTGAGATGACATGATACAAATTAAGTTGCTGATTTTCATGCAGATGCTACATGATTTAATTATGTTCACCATAGAAACATGAAATTATTCTTAATTAAAGTTTTAGTTGTTTCCTATCTTATCTTCTTACACTGTTGATCCCATATGTTAAGATCATTCACATGTCTGTGTTCCCCCATTTAGTTACAATTCTTCCTTCCTGTTTTATTTTGATAGATACCCATCTCTAGCTTCTTGACTTTAGTTGTACTTCTCCTGTGTAATTGTCTTTGATTATCTTCACCTGCATCTTGTCATCCACTTCTCCTAGTTACTCTCATGTGTAGGGTTGTCTCCCCTTCAGTTTTGTCTCAGCATCTGTTGTACTCTTTGTGTCCCTTTTTTGTTTCCATCATCTATCAGACTTTGAAATCAGATTGAATTAAGGTTCACTTTTTGTTTACGCCTCTGCATTTGACGCATCATCTTGTGATTAATGACATCTCTATCACCACCTTATATATGTTGTTGCCAAACACAAAGGCTGACTGCACCATGTCGTCTGCTCTACTAAGAAGGCAACTGGCTGGAATCTGCACTTCTCCCACAGGAGCTTTTTAAGTCACTTGCCTCTGGCAGGGGGTTGCAGCACATTAGGACCTACACCTCAAGGCACAAGAACATTTTCTTCCCGTCTACAGTTCTTATATCTTAATCTTCTTAATGATCCTCCAGTCACGTTATAAGTAACATGTTACACTAACACATGCTTATTCAGGGCATTCTATAAAAAAAAAATCCTGGTTTGGCTAAAGTTTTGTCAATAAACCTAATTCAGATTTCATTCAGAGACTTGAAAGCCCTTGAAAGCTGTATGTCAGGTACTTTGAGTGATCCAACGAATGATATTATAGCCTCTAAAATAGCATGCGCTTTCTATGAAATTATCCCACTCGCAGGAGTAATTTAGTTCAGGAAGATACAGATTATGGTGTGTTCATCATACGGGCTGAGCTGCACCATCTGCACTGACCAGCACACACCCATTTTCCAAACTCATCTCGATAATCTGGCATGTTGGCGTGCTCTGCCAAAAAGTAGATTTAATGAGAGATAAACTGGAAAATGAGCAGAGCTTCAGGGAACAGTCGCTCACTGAAACAATGCCTTTATAATGTGCAAAAAAATAAAGTTTTCTTTTTGCATGTGTGAAGTAATGTAATGAGAGGACGTGGAGTTTTGGTACCTTGTTGAGGAGTCAGCGGGGCTGGCACATATCCTACACAACAGGAAAGACAAATACAAGAGTAGGTGTCAGCAGAGCAATGATAGGATGAAACCACTTTGGGTCTGTCACACAGGTGGATTCATTTCTCTCAGCCAGGATGTGGTTAGAATTAAACTGTTGACATTATAGAGGATCACACAGGAGGCACTTAAACGTAGAGCTGAGCTGTTTGTTCCAGACACATTTTCAGTGCAGACAAGTGACCAGATTTTATGCAGACAGTAGTCTTCTCCTGTCTGTGTTTTGTATTTATAATACCGACATTTAATCTTGTGGATAGAGGTGCATAAGGTTTGTCTGCTTAAACTGAAGAAATGTCAGTAAAATGTGGGTTAACCTGTTTAATTATTTTTAACTTAAAATGGAAAAGTTCACAAATCCTTTTGGTCTAAAAAAAAAAAAAACCTTCAGTGTTTAGGATAGTCAAAAATATTTATGAATAATTAATCAAATTCAAATTAAACCAAAACATTCCAGATATTTAAAGTTTAATATGTTTTTTTTAAGTTGGATAAGAGGATACAGTAGATATCTCTACTGTAGATTAACGAGTAAGAGGTCATAATAAGCATGACATGGAAACTGTGCAGAAGCTGAAGCTGCGTTTACGTGAAAGTGGCCGACATTAAGGAAAGGAGAGGGAAGAATAAATACCGATGAGGTAATCAGGTAATATTTTTCCTAATGTGGTTTCCGAATCATTTTCGGCATGTGAATATTGTTGCAAGAAAAGAAAACCTTCTGTTGCTCCCCTCTCCTCTAAAATAGAGGCAGTTTCCTGTCTGCCTGTTACCTGCGTAATAGCGTCTCAACATTAATCCGGCTCCTGATCCAGAAACAAGGACAAACAGTTAAACAATCATCCGTGCGCCAAATCCTCCGCTCGGTGGAGGCAGGTTTATTTTAGCAATGCAGTTATCAGTGCTATGAATGTACTGTGAATTACAGTTTTTCATAGGTACACCTATTCAACTGCTTGTTGATGCAAATATCTAATCAGCCAAGGGTCAAGACGGCATGCTGAATTTCAAACTGCTTATCAGAATGATGAAAGAAGACGATTTGATTTAAGTGACTTTGTTGTGAGACTGGCTGGTCAGAGTATTTCAGAAACTGCTGAGCTACTGGGATTGTCCCCAACAACCATGTCTAAGGCTACGTTCACACTGCAGGTGAAAGCGCATCAAATCCGACTTTTTTGACCCTATGCGACCCATATACGATCATGGTATGATAGTGTGAACGGCACAAATCCGATATTTTCAAATCCGATCTGGGTCACTTTCGTATGTGGTGCTGAATCCGATACATATCTGATGTTTTAGAAAGCGACTGCTGTTTGAACGGTCATGTCGCATTAAATCCGTCTTTTACGTCACTGACACAAGACAGACGGTAATTATCAGCGCCGGAGAAGACATCGCGAACACTTCCTGGCTGTCCAGTGAAACGATTGGGAAGACAACGTTGGAGAAACGTTAACATTTTATTTGTACTGCATAATCTGCAGATTCTGACAGAAATCTGCAACTATCCTTTGAAGCACCGCTCCTCTAAAACAGCAATAAGGATAATTATTAGGTTATCTACATTATTATGTAAATAACAAAATAACTTAAAGCAAAAATTGGGAAACGTGAAGTCGGAAGCCTTTATATTAAGGGCCATCAGTCAAACAATACTGTTTGCTCTGGGTCTAAACAGAGCGCGTTGTGTGTGACGTCTTCTTTTGCGCATGCGGGCCGCTTTGAGCGTTCACACTAGAGCGCGTTTGCTGTCGCATTTTATTTGTAGTGTGAACGAACAGACAAAAAAATCGGATTTGATCAAAAAATCGGAATTGAGCATTAAGACCTGCAGTGTGAACATAGCCTCAGGTTTACTGAGAATGTGCTGAAAAAGAGAAAATATCCAGCAGGTTGCTGTTGTCTGGCTGAAAATGCCTTGCTGATGTCAGAGGAGAATCACCACATGATTCGACAGTAAAGCAACAGTTACTCAAATAACCGCTTGTTACAACCACGATTTGCATCTTTTTTTCTTTTTTCTTGAACAACAGAAGGCTGGAAAGATTGTCTGCTGCGACAATACAGCTGATGAATGAATGATGAATCTATGCAACAAGCAATTAAGGCCGTTCTGAAGGTAAAATTGGTCCTACTTGGTACTAGCAAGGTACATCTAATAAAGTAGCTCATGAGTATACTTCAGTCTGCTTTACTGAAAAGTAGTATTAGAGCCTCTTTTTTTTGGAGTTCTTATTCTTGGGTGAAAGTCCACCTCCGATACAGCCACACACTCTTAAAACATCCTACCACTGTTCTCTGCCTTTGATCCCACCTTCTAAAGATAAATGGCTCTATTTTGTCATTTGTCAACACTGATTTATGGCACAACCTGCGCCCTTAAAAGGTCACTACACAGAAGTGTTTATCACCAACAACAGGTAGCAGGTAGTATGTAACATAATGTGCGCTGTGAATTCATCAATATACTTTAATCAAAATGTGCATAAAGGAAGTAGTTGTTTTACCTTGGTAGTACTGCTGGGGGTATCCTCCTCTGTAACCAGGAACTACACCTGTAAATTTGAAAAAGCCTTTTTAATGGAGACCTCACAGGCCTACAGATAGAAAATATGTCACACGATATGAATTGGATTCATGTATAGAATCTATTTGTGTTGGCAGTAAATCTATTTGCACTAAATGTTTTACAAGTAAGTTATGATTAAACAACCCAGCATTACTCTGAATATGACAACTTGACCTGATTTTCATAATTACGGATCTCTCAGTTTGGCAAACCTCCCTGATGGAAAAACTGTGCTGCAAAAATGAAAGCTATTAAACCATCTGCAGTAACACAGACGGATGTGTCTGTGTTCACTGGGAGATGGATTAGGGCACAGTTTTTATGACTAGCTGTAGCCGGGCAGTATCTGTGGGGAAGTGAGAGCAGGCGGCACTGTCGGCTGCTGCTGTGTGATTGCAATGATCCATCACGGGTGGGCAGAGGAAGAGAAGAAGAGGCAGGTCTAAAAGCTGTGCAAGTGTAAATATGGCTGTAGACTTCTGAACAGAAATATGCATCATCTTAAGCTGCTTAAGAATAAAAAGGAGAGGGACTGAGTGGTAAAAATGTCACTGTGGTCCTCACCTTGTTGGTATCCGCCACCACCTCCAATATTGCCGTAGCCTGCTCAAATTAAAAGACAATAAAGAAACAATTCAAATGTTTCTTTTCTTCTGATATACAGCAAATACAACTTTCTAAGTTTCATATTTCTATGGATTGTAGTTTTTTTCTGTGTGTATTACTCCAGCATTGTTGCTTCAGGCCCTAAACTGGCATGTGGCCAGTGGCTCAGCTAACGTCACATTAACGTCCTCATCCAAATTTCCCCTGGCAGAATTTTGCTATTTCAGGGCAGGACTCCCCAGGGGGGTTGTGTTATCTTCAAACAATCCCACAGTGATGTTCTGCACAGTAATATGGTCTCCAGGGCAAAATGATGTGTTGTTGACTTGCTCCATTTACAGACTCCTAACAGAACAGAAATACTGCAGGGATTACTGCCCTTGGTGGAGCTTGCCTTTGCAGAAGCTGGATTAAAAAAAAAAAAAAAAATGGCTGAATCACTTTATTTCAGGCCACATTTCTCACTGGTAAACAAACTCTGCTAAAGAGAAAGAATATGGTACTGTAAATGTCTACAAAGTGTCTTTTTGATACAAGTAATCTGAGTAAATCTAGTGATTTTGGTTTGATAGCAACTCGCTAACAAAACAAAAACTACTTTAAACAGATCCAGTACTGAATTTCTGAGGCTTAATTTGAAGAGGAAGTGAGGTGGACGTTTTCCAAACACTGTTTCTGGGAAACTGTGTTTTCAACATAAAGTACACAGTGGCCACAAGCTATAGGAAAACACATTCACAGCACATTTCCCATGTTTACATTGTGCTTTGATGTGCGGCAGCAGTACCGGGCCTGTTACATTACCTGGTTTCGGCGCTTTAGCTGCAGCTCCAGGATACGCAACTCCACCTGTCACACAGAGAAAACTGGCTTACATGCAATGACCCTTTAATCTATTACTATAGCCATCCTGCTTGGGACTGAGACCCACATAAAGAATGAGAAACTCTTTGAATATTGCCCCAGTTGTTTTCCTTCCTTAAAGTGGTTTCTCATTCCTGATACGCTGCACCCTGCACAGCAACTTATCAGCATTTTGGCCAATTTCCTGCACAGGAAGTGGCATGAGATGACATCTCTTCACCAACTGTCACTTTGTGCACTGGACTGGATGATTTTGTTGTTGTTTTTTAAAGTCAGGGAAACATTAGGCATCAATGCTGACAGGCTCGCCTCCTTTTATATATACCTTGTCCAAGCAGAGTGTATCCACCTGAATCATGGTGACATCTAATAGATAACTCATCTCCTACAGTTTGAGAAGGCGTTACGCTCAGTGAAGGAATTACAAAAAGGGTCTAATGATAATACGATGTTCCCTGATTTCAACAAGTCCTGCTAAAAAGCAGGATGCACTCTTATTTCCCAATTAAAAATTACTAATACGTTATAATAATTTAGTTTCCTGCAAGTAAATTTTCTTAGGGCTCACTGACCTTGATAACGTCCTGCAGCCAGTGGGATTCCTGGTCTCTCTCCAACACCACCCACAGCTACAAACACAAAACACAACAATGCTGAGACTGCATGTGCACAAGCTTCTGCAAAAACACGAACATGACAGCAGTTATCACGCTCTGTATTTATCTAATTATTCCATTATTAGTTCTTCAATTCTGACAGTCGAAACTTTCATACATCTCAGTACTCTTTGACTACTCACTTTGACTATGACTACACTTTGTGTTAAAATAAAACATATTGTACATGCATTCATTCAGAATTTACATTTTTAAATGTTGTTTGTTTATTTTGTTCTGTATGACGTACCATACAATGGTTTTGTTCATCCAGTGTCTTTCCACTTTGTGTTTTGCATAAAAATGATTACACCATAATTATAAGATATTAGAGTGTCTTTCATAGATAAAGAAAAGATTATAGGCAAGTTTTTTGCACCAGCTTTAGTCTTTTAGTAACTAAAACTACTTTTTAAATATACTATAACAGTTTGGTTGCTTGAAGGAAAAAATGGATTCGAGTACCTGGAGGTTTCAGAGGCTTTGCTCCAGGCAGTGTTCCAGTTCCAGGCCCAGTTCCGGGTCCAGTTCCGGGTCCAGTGCCTAAAGGTACTAAAGCACAAAAAAAGAGTAGAAATATACCCCACTGCTCTTTAAACAAAATCTATGAGAGCCAAAACACAATAAACTTAAACAGGAAACTTGCCTCCATAAGGTGCTCCATAAGGATAGCCAGTACCTAGGGAGTAAAAATAGAAGACCCCAAAAATCAAAGGTTTATTTATTCAAGTGATTAATCATTAAATAAAATGTACTCTGTAGAAACTGAATGTGTACGTACTTATGTAACAAAATTACACAGAAAATTTACATTTATTAAATTTTCTATGTAATTAGTTAAATCAACAGTTTGGGCATAACATTTACCCTGAGTGCACAAACGAGTAAACGTCAAACAGAAGACTTCATGTTATAACGTGCAATTTCAAATCCCTGCCATGTTAATACTGGGAAAAACTGAGATTTACTCAATAGGCATCAGACAAAAGTGAGAAACAAAATCAACAGTCAACAAAAATAATAACAGATTCTATTTGGGTATCACAGTGTTATTGATGATCCTTTACATTAATCAAAAAAATGTAAAGGTAACAAATACTTTATCTTGAGAGTTTATAATATTTTAACGTTTAATTTTTTGTCATATTGTGTGTTTTAATCTTAGTAAAAAAAAATTTTCTTTGTTTTTATTTTTAATTATCTATCAGGAGAGTCTCCTGTTACCAACAAAAATTTCTCAGTTTTACAATTCTATTCAAAAAATTACATCAAAGCTTGCAAAAAAAGTGCACAATAGGTAAAATGCCCTAAAAGTGCAAACGAGCAGATGCACAAAACTGATGACTATTCAGTCTGTTGCAGGTATAATTGGCCTGATGCAGCTTTTTGTTGGTTTCATTGATCCAGGCTGAAGAATCGTTAACTGTCTGCACAGAGAGTGCACGTTAAGAAGGATGCATCATGTGTAGCTTGACAGTGGATGTGATTATAAAAACAAATTAATCAATATTTGGATTGAGACTAAAATGACAGGGTAAGATGCTGTCTGTGTGTTTGTGTAAGTAATGAGCAGCAGCAGCAAACATGACAGTAGTGCTGAAATTAATCTGTGATATGTCACAATTTAGTCTTTTAACTGTGCCATACTGATCATATGTATAATGCACAACTCTAATAATTAGAAACGTTTAAATACAAATTCATTTACAAACTGTATAAATCCAGATATAAACATCTAGGCTTGGTGTGAGCTACAGATGGCTAAAATATTATGTACTAAATTCAGACAATATTCAGTTGAACTCCTTAAATGCACATCTAGTATTTTGTGGCGAAGGAGTGAGGAAAACATAAACAGATCACATGCAAGAGAATCAGAGACAACATCTTATGCTTTATCATACAAATGAGTGATAGTTAAAATATCTAGTTCCTCTTTACCTGGTATAAATGGTTTGGGTGCTTTTCCAACTGTTCCAACACCAGGACCTGAAAACAGCCGCGCCTTTTACTTTTACAGTCAAAGAGAAAAAGCCCCACAGCGGGTATGTTTGTATTGGTCTCCACCATGTGGCCAGATGGATCCAGCATACTTTCATGAACTTTAAGTTAGAAAACATCCAGGAGACTGAGGGATTAAAACAACACGGCGCTCCTGAATCAATAAAATAATAAATATTTGACTTGTTGTTGAACTCCAGTTAAAATAACAGATAGAATAATAAACTGCCCAACATGGGTGATGAAAAAAAGAAAGGTAAAAAAAGGAAAACCTATTAAAACCAGTTAGAAAACAACAGTTTGATCAGTTAATTTAAAATCCTCAACTATTCTGACATTTTTAATACATTTAATTTAATTTAGCATATCGTGTTTAGTTCCTTTAACTATTACAGTCACAAGAATGGGTAGAATTACACTCACTGGCCACTTCATTAGGGACATCTGTGCAGTCCCTTTAAGTGTGACCAGTGGATCATCTGCCTCCATCTCACCCTGTTCCTAGCATCCTCCACACTCACACCAACCCTCTGCATGTCTTCATTCACTATATCAATCATTTTTGCTCTCCTCTTTTCCTCTATCTGGGCAGCTCCATTTTTTAAATACATTCTTTGTCCAGCATATTCACTGTCGAAGCCATCTCAGCCTCGCTTCTCTAACTTTGTCTCCAAAGTTAACATCTTCAGCTTGGCCTCCTGTCATTTTTCTCTTGAGTTGTCTGTACACAATCGAATAGACCATTTTTGGGATGTGATGTAACGAGAGATTTCCATCATCCATGTACAGTCAACAAATCTGTAGCAAATGTGTGATGCCATCACGTAAATATGGATGAAAATCTCTGAGGAATGTTAAAACACCTTTTTGTGGCCAGTGAGTGAGGCGTGATAGGGTGAAACTTAACTCTTATTTTCCTTTTTTTCTTTCTTATTGTAAATTACAAATTAATCAGTACATTTTGCTCAATTTTGATTAAAAACATTAAACTTACCAGGTTGAACTTGGCGTGAAGTGTCAACTAGAAACACAGGCAACGGTTACATTCATTAAAATATGTCAAAATGGCAAGTAATGCAATTTCAGTAATAATAAATGTAATAGGGCAGGTATACCAAACTCATTTCACTTTAAGGGCTACATACAGCTCATGCTGTTAGTGTAAAGAAGTTTAAGTGCATATTTAATCCCAGAGATAAGAAATAAATATTGTTATAATATAAACAAATGCTGTAGTAGTAAATGAAATAAATCGGACAGTGTGACACTGTAAGGAGATTACAAAAAAGTTCTGGTAGCTCATTGTCCAAACTGTCCCTTACGTATAAACCACAATGTTTTAACTGAAAATACAGTTAAAAGAACAAAATTGATGCCCTCCTCTAAAGCTGTCCAGCTGGCCAGATTCGGCCAATTCTGGCCCCCTGGCCTTATGTTTGACACCCCTGTCATAGACTTTACAGATTAACAGATGCTACACGCTTTTGTTAAAAGATCCATTGAAATAAGTTGCTTAATGGCACATGTTGAATACGTACAGAAAGGAAAAAGAAAAACTGTTCTTACCACCAGTGGGAGCGTCAACTCCTGTTCCAACTGTCACACGGGAAACACACAAGTAAAAGTTTTGTCACGTTTAATGTTTGAATGAAGCCCAAATCATGAACCTCTGAGTATTTTTGGTATATTTCAGTATGAGAGGATTTTGACATATTTACCAACACCTGTGCCAGCTGTAAAGTAAAAAAAAGAAAAAGTATAATAATGTTTAGATAAGCACAGTAAGCATACTTTCACTGTTAACAAGGATTTACAGGATTAATGTGAACTACTTACCACTAGGCTGAACAATTCCACCAGAAACTGTCAGAGGAGTCAGAAATAACATTTATTAAAACAAAGAGACACACGTGAGAATCAAATGAAGCAAAAACCTGCATGTTTGTTTCCAACTTACCACCTGTGTTCACCCATCCACCACGAGAGGAAAGAAAGAAAAAAAGTTAGAAAAGTGCCTTTTACTTTTTTGTCCTTTCAGATGAGCCCAACTAATATCAACAAAATCAATGGTTTCCATTAATTGGATTTGGGAATGCAAGGAAATAAATACAAGACGTAATCTTCTAGGATTTCATGCAAATACGAAACAACGAATCTAATAAAAAGTGTAAAGTAGCTGCTTTTCAATTTATTCAGTGTTTATTTAATAATAAAGGACTTTAAGTGCAGTGATTTTACAAACTTAAACTGTGTAAATATCACAAAAAACTGTCAAACTATGTGCACAAGTAGTCATGTTCCTAAACAAACCTCTGTGGAGAATATGAGGAATTAAAACAGAAAAGATCACTACTCATTAATCTACCCGTTCCCTAATGCAGGACTAATGCAGTTAATAGTACACAAATTGCAGTAATGACGCTATAATGAAAGCAATGCATCAAGCACAGCAAGCTGTGAGGTAAAAAGTAAAGGAGTGGACAAGTTGAGTAAATGCTAGAGAAAGAAAAAAAAAGCAGCCCCAAATTATGCAACACAGGTTAAAGTGGACCTATTATGCTGCCGTTCTTTTTATTTTTATGTGTTCACTTATTTATTTTGGTGATGTGAATAGTAGAAGTCTTAATCCCTATAAAACTAAATAAGCCTAAACCAAAAGCCTTCATTGTGCTCTAAATACTCAGTTTCAGACAGTTTTCCTACTCTTGGATCTGTATGATGTCAAAGAGGGACATCATATCAGACACGCAGCTCTGGCTGTCTGCATAGAAGCTCCACCCACCTGCTGCAGAAGTCTTCTTTTAGTGAGGGGCAGCCAATCAGAAGAAGGTTGGCTTAAAGGAAGAATAGCTAAAACTGAGGTGCACTAATGCTTAAATAAGGTAACAAAGAATAATTTTGAGCTATGATTCAAAACTACTCTATATAGTCCAAGAATAAAACTCTGGAGCTTGAAGCAAGCATAATAGGTCTGCTTTAAAACGACTTTTCTTTCAGGACTTTGTGAAGCACAGTGTCCAGGCACTATATGTGAGACAGCTCTCTCACGTATTTGACAGAGTACATAATGCTGCTTCCCTTTAGCAGAGTATATATATAATACTGTAAAAAAGGTAATTGGTTCCCATTCTTTACAGTCCCAAAAAGAAGTGGAGTGCTACTTACTACAGCTAATGCATGCTCATGAGACATTTCTATAGTATTTCCAAATAGTATTTGAGAAAGTGAACTCTCTAAATCCTGGAAAATTTAATTTAGCTTTGTATAAATTATAAACACTCTCATAAGGCATAATTTCTTGATGTAATAATTTGATTTAAATAAATAGACATAATTATCAAGACAGAAGCAAAAAGGGTCCAAATCATCTCAAAAAATCTAAATCACATTCTCAAATACTGAATAGATAAATATATATATTAGATCAAAACTCAACTACAACTGCAAACATCAAATAAATGCCTTATAATTTAATTTATGGTCAAAGACTTCAAGCAAACCGAGTCTTACTGGGATCTGGGACCTCTGGCGTCTTGCCAGTTGTGGCAATATCAGTGGGCTCTGCCAAAAAGATGACAAGTACCAGTTTGATCCAGTGTGAATTCCACGGGCACAGAGTGAGAGCCACAAGAAAAGGCAGAAGCTGTGAAGTGGACCAAAGCACTGCCACAGCTTGGAGGCTGTAAAGCTGGAGGTGGTCAACGGCTTGTAGCAATATTATTAAAACTGGGAAATTGTGTGGGCAGAAAAAGAATGAAGGGGCAAATACGTTTACCACAAAGTAGAGAGCAACTGTTAAAAACAAGGAAAAAAATGGCGTGGCAGGTCGAGCCGTGTGCGTGTTTTATTGGTAAAGTCGTGCAAGCAGTGTGCTGAAGCTCTCAATAAGCTTCTGAGACTTAAAAATGAAAATCCACAAATCTCTTCAGTTTGCTGTTAACTTTTTACATTTGCTGTATTATAGAAATACTCTAACTGTGGCAGACAATCCTCCTTTCATACAGTATGTAATCAGCTGTGACATTTCACCGTACCTGGCTGAGGAGTTCCACTGACATCCTTTGCTGTGGAAGCAATAATGGATCATTTAAAATTTACAACTATGAAAAGGTGCAAACAAACAAACAAACAAACAAACAAACAAACAAACAAACAAACAAACAAACAAACAAACAAACAAACAAACAAACAAACAA